TATATATATATTCCTTTTATTGAACTTTCTTTTTGATAATAATAAAATAAAATTACTGTTTTAATACCGAAATAAACTATAAAAATAACAAAGAACATTGTATTTTAAACCTTGGTTTTAAAACATGATAACAAGACTTTACCCCATCAATGCCTAACATGATAAAGTAATTAGGTAAAATACATATTGTAATGGTTTAACACTAAAAATAAAGAAACAGCATGAACAACCTATTCTAAAATAACATGACTAATATATCTTGTTGCTAAATGCATTTGACATTTTGTATAAAAATATAAATATACTATATTAAATTATATTGTGTGGTCATGTAGTGTGGGTATATATCTTTTTATTTATTTATTTACAAGGATTTTAGTCTCTGTGCAAGCTAAATATATATATAGTTAAAGTTTATAGAGGAAGAGGAATGGAGAAGGTGAAGAGAAACTACTTTTCATCTTTTTTGGAGTGGTTGCATGAAAGAAAGAGTGAACAGGAGAGTGAAAATTTGAATTTGTTTTAAGAAGATAAGTTATGAGATAAAATAGATATATGTAGGGACATTCACGTGCAATATTGACGCTGCTCTCTTTCAGGACTCGTCTTGCTTTGGGTATAGCATGTGCATTTGAAATGAACATGGACATTTTCTCAACCAAAACTGGTTGGGCTCATAGCCTTCCACCTGTTCATGAGGCTGAAGCTACAACTCTACTTACAGCCATTCAATGGATAGTAACTTGAGCTTCACCCACGTAACCCTTGAGTCGGATTGTAAATCTATCCTTGACGCTCAATCTAGGACTCAATCACACCACTTAGAATATGGGTCTGTTCTTAACAGGTGTAGAAGATTGCTACACAACCATCCGAACTTATCACTAAAGTTAATTCCAAGGCAAACCAATCGGATTGCTCACTATTTAGCTAGGGCGTCACGATGTTATGCTAGCTCTCACACTTTTGAATTTATTCTTTCATGTATTGTTCCAATTATTTTGAATGAAATGACATAATATTATTCCCCTAAAAAAAGTAAGTTTTTTTAAAACTAAATTTGGGTTCTTATTGAAAATATTCTTTCAAACCAAAATTAATCTCCCTCATAATAAAATATTTAAATTCATGTCCTAGAACAAAGAATCAATAACTTAAAACAATTAAATTTATAAATATATAAAAATATAATTTAAATCATATGTTTAAACAGAACAAAGAAATTCACGTACCAAATAAAATAGAAATTTTCATATAATTCATAACATAATATTTATGAATTAAATAAATATAAAAAAATATAAGAAAAATTAGGGTGTTACATTAAGAACGTTCCATTTTTTAATCAACATGAATCTTATCTTGAACAAGAGGCAAATACTTTGTCTGTATGTGTTGACTATTGTCATGAACCTATGTTACAAGATCAATAAATTGTTGATGATGAAGACAATCATACATGATATCCAAGACAAACTCGTCTTTGTTACAATTCTCCGCGAAACAGAAAATCAACACCTTGTAAAACTGGTGGTCATCCTCAACATTGATATTTTTTGAATTACTTTCTATATTGCACCTTTTTTAATGTAATTTATGTTTGAATAATTTAGAGATAAACTCAAGAGTCAATGAAAATTAATGACTCCATAATATAACGTTTAAAGAGTAAATAAAAAAATTATAATTTTTTAGAGTCATTTTAAATTTTTTTTTCAAAACCAATTCAGGACTTAAAAATGATTCTATTATATTCACTAACATTAAAAAAAAACTATTAATCATTATTTAAACAAAAAAAATAACATACACATTAATAAAATTGTACAAAATTTAATTTTTATAATAATCATGAAAAACTTATATGAAAGGATTTATTCTCTTCTTTAATATAAACGACTCTATCTTGTATTGAAAGGTTTTTCGTGTTATACCGAATAGAAAAAACTAAATATTTTTTTTAATATTTTTAAAATACATTATTTATTTAAATGGTTTAATTACTATAACACTTTATTTTTATTTTAACTTATATTTTCATATTTTTAAAAACACATTTATTATATTAAAAATATACTTTTATAAATTAAAAATAAGAAACAAAAGAAATATCTAGAAGTAGGGACCTCATATCCAACTTCTCAATGCATCAGAAAAGTGAGGTATTGTGATCAATAATGTGGGAAGATAGATATTTTGATATTAATTTTGGGAACCGGAACATACATATAAAAGATCCCACTTATTACAATATTACCATACAATCCCTCTTCTCATTTTTCTGAAATCTTTCCCTCACATCCTTTTTATACATTTGTCATTGTACACTTGCCTTGACTCATTTTTTTTCCGAGCCATTACCATCGTGTTTGTTCACTCATTTATTACATATTTATTGTTTTATATCGTATCATTACTTGAACGTTGGAGTGGTATTGTATCCTACCCCGGAGACTCCAAGTCACTTATTACCAACGGAGGAGAACAAGGTGAAAGAAGTAGGGCACATTGTCCTTATCCTCCTAGTCTTGCACCTGATGGTATTCAAAGTTAGCCATTTAGATGTTGAAGTTAAGAATAAATTAAATTAGTTGAATCATGAATACTACAAAATAACTCCTAATAATTTTGCGTTTGAACTGGATTGTTATAATTGAATAGTGTTTCAAGACTAAGGAGATCATAGCACTGGTGAGACCATATCTATTTTTAGCAAGTATTTTTATTTTCCATTGCGAATGATTTTGTAGGTACCTATTAAGTCCTAATTCAATTGTCATCTCTAGCCTCCTACCACCATATTCATGAACACTGGCTTAGTTTCAAACATTTATATCAAAGCAACACAATGAACTCCAAGATCTTGGGGTTTAAAGTTCATGGTCCCTCCCTCCAAATCATCCCTTTGATGTTCAAGTTCCTAATCCCTTTGTATAATCGTTTTTTCGTTTAATGATTACTTGCTCAAAGAATCACGGGGATTCCACCAAAAATTCGAGAGCTTCAGCGGAATGGAACAGATTTGGTTCTCTTAGAGACTCGCTACATGTCTTTGGCCATTGAACACAACAGGCAGATGAAAGAGCCTCCGTCAAAAAGTGTGTTTTGGTTGGGTTTTCCATTATGGTATATTTGGTCGTTCTCGAGTTTTTTTTAAGTTAATCAGGAATGAAGTCACTATGCACAAAAATCCCTTGGCAATTGGTGTTCAATGGCATTAACCGTGGTTGTTGAAGTGATCAACAAGGTCAGGGTGGCTGGCTGGTGTCAGTGACAAGCTTTTTGGTCATTACTTGTTTGTTATGTGCTTTTTCTTGGTATAGATATAGGGGGTAGAAGACAAGTCCCAAACGTTTAGTTTAGAACTTAATGAGCCTCCAAGATGTTCACTGTCATGTAAAATGTTTATATTGCATATTTTACTTTGTTGGAAAAGTAGCGACACAGCAGAGTTTTTATATACATGTGCCTATCTGTAAAAAAAATAATAATAAAAAGAATCACGGAATATAAATAATGGTCAATTTTTGCTCTTTTTCTTTTTTTTTTTCAACTCCCTTCTGCTATGAAACAATAACCATCATTATCCGAAAATTACTTAGTTACGTTGCTGGCATCCAGAGGGTGACTCAAACCCCATAATGCAATAATGCTTGAACTGTACGGATTACAATATGTTCCAATCTGGGTTCTAAAATTCAGAAATAGAAGTCTACCATGTAGAAGGTGACCATGCTGAAGTTGCTGGTAACTAGTTTCAACTTGCCATGCTATTGAATTAGAATCCATTACACTGAGGTCTTTCGTACTGTTCATTATGTACAGCCTGTTCTATTTTCTATTGGGTTTGTCTAGATTCACACAGCCAACCAGAAAAATATTGGACTTGTTTGAGTAAATTCCTCCAAAAACATTTATAAAAGAACAAAATAGGATGAAAAAATGAAATAAATTTTTTCATGAGCTAAAATTAGGTCATGCATAAATTATTTTATAAAAGCTTTTTCCTATTAACTTTTTCAAAATCTTATTTTTAACTCATGTATAAACTAATTTTATCTTATGGAAAAACTAATGCTGATTTTCCTTCCGATATTTACCCTTAGAAATGCTTCAAGAAAAACTTATCCAAACAGGCATACTATACAGTTCTTGAAACAAATATAAGCTAAAGGGGAGCAAAAAGCCCAAGACCAAGATTCATATTGAAAGTTTAAGATACACTCTGCAAACATACAAGACTTCTTAAAAATTTCAGCATGTCAAGAATGACATTACATTTAAGGATAACTATGTTCTTGCAGTATCACACCACACATACAACAATACCTTCCCCGTATATTTTTTTTATATTTCATAATCAGCACAATCACTTAGCATGGAAAAAAATCCACATTCCGATAAAGCACACCAGGTTAGTCCAGACTGCTTCATCAGAGGTACCAATTCAAGAATTAGGTTCATGTCCCAGAAGGCCAGGAAGTAGGAAATCGTGTAAAAGCAAATTATTTTTTTCTTCTTTATCCTCTCCTATTTTGGTATTTACAGGACCATGAGTAATATTTTACAAGAATTGGTGACCTCTCGCATATAACAAGATCAACAGAAGAATCTACAAACGGAACCTAATCAAGTGTCAAAAAAAGATATAATGACTTACAAGAGATTCTCCTACCATTTCACATCCAGTGTAAGAGGCTCCGGAGGAAGAAAAACGGGTCTCAATTTAGCATATGACATATTGGACATCAAATTGGCCCAGGAAACCGAAACAGATTCAATAAAAGGTTTTACTTTCTTGATCAAAAGAGGCTTGAGCCTGTTTTCCTCAACTCTAGCCAATATCTCAAACCACAACCTTTCAAAACTAGGCCTTGTTCTCCAATCAGGAATTGTACGATTAATAGTGACATTATTCCTTATGTCTCTTTCTAATTCTAATGGGAACTTTATAACAGCTGATGCTTTAATATTTGCTTTGAGAAGGCCAGAAAGCTGATCTTGAAGTATCTTACGACCAAGAAGACTCCTCAAAATTTTTTCCAACATGCTTAATCTCAAACTTACAGAATCCATGGGGCATGCTCGCTTCCTAAACATATGACCATGATAACATTTTTCTGGAAGCAGCTCAATAGCATCCTCTGAAATCAAGGTAGTTGTTATGTATGCATAAGGGTTTCGAGCTCTATAAGCAACCAAAGATGCCGACCCTGATATCCGAATAGGAATCAAAGCCATGCATGTTGAATGCAGAAAGGGCCAAAGGTCACTCTTCCCCACACTACACATGGCACTTCCATTCATTTGCAGATCAAGATCAGAAGAGTAAAAAACAGAGATTTCTTGTGCTCTTCTTACTTCAACCATAATACCTTCACCAACAAGGATGTGTTTCAAACCAGTGTATGAAACATTCATCTGCCAAACAGAGTCAGAACTCAGAATATATTGAAATATCAAAAATGCTAGTTATCTACAAGAATTAACTTGGATATATCATAAAATGCTCAGAGGAAAAAAAAACTTATTAAGAGCAAGACAAACATCAACTTTGCCAACTAAACTAAGAACAAAACAATATAAACATAAACAATAGCAGAATATCTTTCAACTTTCGAGACATAACAAGATACAGACGAAAGCAACCAAAAAACTGAAGTAATAATAAAGGCTACAACAAAAACACAAAAGAAATAACAAATTGTCCATTGAAATCACTCATCAACACAATACTTGACCTAATATATATATATATATATATATATAGTGGATGCATGAGAAGTGAGAGAAGTACATCTTCACCATACAAACATACATAGTCAAGATTGTTGTGATTAGTTTTAATGTTAACCATCCATTTTAATCATACAGTTGACATTCCCTCTCGCTTGATTTTCTCTCTCTCTCTCTCTCTCTATATATATATCACAAGACAACAATCTTGGCTATGTGAGCATAGTTAAATATACTGGTTGGATCAATGAAATTCAATGTAGAACATGAGTTATTAAGTGGAGTAACTCTACCAAAAATTACTCTTGAAGTAAGTGAACTTCTCCTTATATATATATATATATATATATATATATATATATACACACACACACCATAATTAGGGTCTTTGGCTCCTCTGTGAGACTTCACTTTGGCCCTTTGGGCTAGTTTTAGGACTAATCTATGGTCTAGAACTTAATCACACTTAAGGCTCTTTATCCCTCTCCTCCAGGGATGTAATCCGTGGAAACAGAATCCAAATCCTCCCCTACAAGCTCAGCACTTGTTGCCAACAACTGAGTGACACCTACAAATATATATATATAGGGAGACACACACACACACATACACACAAAGAGAGAAAGAGAGAGAAGCAAGTTACACTTCGTCCTAATCCTTTAGTTTCTCTTAATCTAACAGTTCTAACAACTATCTTTAATTGTTAAATTGAAAGAAAATAAAAGGATAAGGATAAAGAATAACTCTTTTAAAGTTACTTGATCCCTCTTCGTGTGTGTATATATATATATGAGTAGATAGTGTATGCAATGACACTGTCGTCCAATCACACACATCGATTAACTTTTACAGTAACTACTTGGTATGTTTGTTTTGGGGTGATTTTGAAGTGAAAGAAGTGGGCGAGAGAATGGAGTTTTTAGTTGTTTGGAAGAGAAAAAAGGGAGAGAAGAAAGAAAAGATGAGTGAGACCCATATTTAAAATAAATCTCTCCAAATTTGAAGAGATTTGTGAGAGAAAAGGAGAAAAGAAATTATTAAATCCATTAAATATTTAAATGCAATTTGTCTTCCTATTTTGGGTTATATAAATATATTTTTGAAGGTAAATATGTCTTTCTAACACACATACTTTTCTTTCTCTTCTACTTCTTCCTCACTTCTTATAGTCCAAACAACTTCAAAAACTATTTAGCATCTTTCATCAATCTATTTTACTGAATCTCACTTCTCTATACTTCACTCCTCTCTTCTTAAAATCTTTCATCATCCAAACAAAACATAAGTGTCCAATTGATCCAAAGAGTAAACAATATATAGAAACTAAACTCTCTTTTTAAATATAGGTTTTATCATCTTTCCAGGAAAAGAGTTTCTGCCATCAAATTAACAAACTAGAAAGAAACAAACGCTAAAGAAAATGAAGAAAACCTGAAGTGATAGCAAAGAAAGATCTAAACAGAACAAGAAAAACGAAAAGAAAACGACAGAAAGATGGCTTACGGGGAGTGATAGAGATAGGTGGTGAAGGCCATCGACCCGCAGCGCAAAGGGGCCTTCCAATTTGAGGGTGTGAAGGAGTGGGAAAGAAGCGAGTCGGTGAAGGAGAGAGGGTAAATCGGGAAAGGGCGTTCTGAACTTGTTCCATGACGCAACTTGGTCGGCGAACTTGAGGGTGAAGTTATCAGTGCCCACCCCGATTCGGAACTCGTAGCTCTGGGAGGTGCCGAACCTCACCTTTCCGACATCCAACTTGGTTACTCGCGTGTCGTTCAAATCCCACTTGTGTTTCGCCGACACGGCCCTCAGAACATCCTTGGATTCCACGAATCGGAAAGGTAAATAAAGAAATCAAGAATAATAAAAAAGAAAGTGGGATGGGAGAGAGAGAGAGAGAGAGATTACCTGCAAAATGTGGGTGGAAGAAGATGCGATTGCAAAGGCAGAGAATCGAAGGAGAAAAATGAAGAGTGAGAGAGAGAGAGAGAGAGAGAGGGAAACGAGTAGGAATCATCCTCCGAGGAGAGCAGAGGAATCGTAATGGGAACTACCGAACTACAACTACACAATTTCTCCCGTCTCTCAGATTCGCCAAACTCCTTCGGATTAAGTTCACATTTTTTTTAATTATTTTTATTTTTATTTAATTTCTTAATTTTAAAAATTCATTTTATTCCTATGTTAAGGCATTCGTGTTAGATTAAAAGCTAAAACTTTATTTTAGTCCCTTATAATAATTGTTTGTTTCAATTTAGTTTCACTTTTATTTTTGGTTTCAATTTGGTCCCAAATTAATTAATTGGTTTCAATTTGATCCCAAATAAATTAATTAGTTTCAATTTGAGACTTCTGTCCAAATTATTTAAACGGAGTTAACTATTGGTCACGTGGATGCCACGTAGATGTATAGGTGGATGTCACGTGGATGCCACGTGGATGACAATTTTTTTGAAAACACCTGGGCCCAGAACGGCCCGTTTTGGGTCCAGGTGTTTTAAAAAAAAATTCTCATCCACGTGACATCCACCTATGGTAGGCTATACAGTATATTATTAATTACAATGCAATGTATCACTAAAGACAATGGTAGCAGATTTTATTTTATTTCAAACTAGAGTGAATCACTTACTACTAAATTGACATTATACAGTAAAAGATAAAATGACATGGTATTTTTCCTTGAAGTCATTAACGATGTACCCAACAACAACAACATGTTCTTGAAGAGGTAGAACCTGAAGTAAAGGAAGAGGATACACAGGAGTAACATTTCACCACACAACCATGGACAGATCTAAGTTAATTATACACTAAAATTGTTTTCATTTTTTTATATATATATAATATTAATAATTTTATAAAATATATATTATTAATTATATTTTAATTATGTTGTTATATCTAATATAATAAATACATTAATATTTTTTTATATTTTATTTTATTGTTTAATTGTTTTTTATTTTGTGGTAAAATTATCTTCATTTTTAATGAAGAAAAAATTTACTTACTTCAAGAGTAAGTCTTGATAGATTTATTCTATTTAATAATTAATGTTCTATATCAAATTTTTAAAAATTTAATTGTTAAATTAAAAAGCTTTTCATGTATAGATCAAATTTATAAATTTTTTAAAAAAATTAAAAATCATATGATACTTCGTTAAATTAATTCAAATTAACATATAAAATATTTTTGTTTTAAATGAATGTAAAAATTTAGAGGACACTAAAAGAAAATAAATTAATAATTTTATTATGTTTATCTTATTAATTTTTATCATTTTATTCCTCTAATTTTAAATAAGTTGCAAAAAATTATAAAGTGACACTTAAATATTTCTTCAGACAGAAAGAGAAAAAGAAAAAATTATTACTCTATTTATAAGACAATTGTATTTTATAAAATAAGTAATTTTAAAAATTTTACCATAAAAAAATATTTTACAAAATTATTATATTTTTAATAAAATTAATAAAGAATATTCTATTCTCAGTTTTGGAACGGGTCCAGAACGGCCCATTCTGTTGCATCTGGAACGGGCTATTTCAGGTGCAAATTTAACACCACGAGTGCATTCGGAACGGCTCGTTCTGGTTTCAGAACGGACTGTTCTGGTTCCAGATGTTTTCAAAAAATTTGGCGTCCACGTGGTATCACGTATGCATCTACGTGACATCCACGTGGCCAAAAGTTAACTCCGTTTAAATAATTTGGACGGAAGTCCCAAATTAAAACTAATTAATTTATTTTGGACCAAATTAAAATTAATTAATTAATTTAAGACCAAATTAAAACAAAAAATAAAAGTGAGATTAAATTAAAACAAATAATTATTATAAGGGACCAAAATAAGATTTTAGTCTAGATTAAACTAGTGAAATATCCGCGCATCCACTCGGGTCACTTCATTTTCACAAATGTCGAAAATACACTTGCTTTTATAAATAAATTTTGTCACATCTAGATAATAGTTTTTCTTAAGTTATTTGAAAAAAGCAATGAGACCGTTTAAATAGAGTAAATAATTCGGTTAAATATGAACTTATCATTTTAGTTAATTTATTATCAGTGCTAGGAAAACTAAAATTTGAGAACATTGACTTGAATTAAAAAATATATATTTAATTACAATAAAAAGATAGTTATTATTTTCTTATGATATCAGAATTAAAAGAAGAAAGTTATCCAAATTAAGGGTGTGCGAAAAAATTAAATAAAATAATCCATTTGTAATTGAATTGGAAAATAATATATCCTGTGTTTTATTAATTATCTTTATTGACTTTTTGTCTGTTATAAATATTATTTTAAAAACTTGAAAAAATGTGAGTTTTTTATATACATTATTTAACTCTCTTTTTAATATCTATATTTTCTCTATAGAAACTTAATTGATCGTCACGAAGAGTTGATGATGAATCGTATTTCCCAAATTTGGTAAATATCATCTTCCTAATTCCTAAAACTCTTATATTGTGTTTGGATAAATTATTTTAGAAATTTAAGGAATTTTAAATTTTTAGAATTTGAATTACTCTCAATTAAATTCCTTTCCTTTTTCAAATATTTTGTATGAATAGAGTATTTTTCAATATCTTGTATTTCAATTATCTTTTTTGGATAAAATATTTCAATTTCTACTAAGCAAAATTTCATTTTTAAATATTTATTAAAAAATTAAAGTTTTAATATTAAATTTTATAAAAATATATTTAATAATTGGAAATTAATTTTAATATTATAAAATTTTAAATAATTCAAAAATAATACTAGGTATTATATTTAATTAGTTTTTTCCTTTATAAATTTACAAAATATTTTAAATTCACAAAATATTTAAAATCTTCAAAACACCATTAACATCCGCAAAACAATTAATACGTTGATTCACGATATAATGTGAATCCATTTTAAACTAAGAAAAAAAATTAATAGGAATCCTTAATTTTGAGTATAGATGGTTCAAAATCACAATATCTCATACGAATTTAAAATAAACACTAATGAAATCTCAAATGTGTGTATGTCCATATCAAAGATAACAAAAATAAAAGAGTTTGTCAAAGATATCAAGATCACAACTTCAAGACTAAAGATTTTCACCTCCTCATAGATGCAAAGCCTAAAAAAAAAAACAAATAACAATTATAATAAGACCAAAGATCAAAACTCAAGTAACAAATCTTTTTGTTATCACACTTCAAAATTTACACAAGTATATAAGATATGACAAACTACAATAAATGTATGTTAAATTAACATTAGAACTATAATAATCTCAAATAAGGTAATGATCCAGAACAAAAATGCAATAAAATAATGACAAAAAAGGAAACTAAATAGGAAAATCTAAATGAGAAACTTTTCATTACACTACATTATTCATGAACAACTAAAAAGGTAAAATAGGTTGTTAGGATGAGAGCCACTATAAAAATGAGAAAGTTATTAAAAATATTATCCATGAATAATACCTGTACGAGCTAATTACAAAATTTATAAAATAACTGACCTATTGGTAACTTCCAAGTATTCATGGAATACATAAAAGCTCCAAACCTAAAACATATAAAATACATGAAAAAGTTAGAAAGTTAACTTGCAACAACTATTTAAATTAATTAAAATTAAGAAGTTATGAAAAAAAATTACATCAAGAAATATGTGTTTAAACATAAGCCATTTTTTTTCTTAATTGAAAGGGCTTTCACAGTAGCTAACTGTTTTGGAGTGTCAAATAACCATTTAACAACTTTGGCCCATTGATGTTGATTAAGGTTTGGTATCAAAGATGCCTTAGCTAACACTTCTTGAATAAAAACATCTTCATCAAGCGCTATATAAAATGCATGAACAAGTCTCTTTAAAGATTCAACCACTTCTTTCAATGAATTAGCTATTCCATTTTTTCCTCCCGTCTTTCTCCTTTGAGATTATGTACTAGTAGAAGTTGAAGATTGACCACTTCTTTGTGTAGCAGAGCTAGGTTCATCTAAATATATAGTATCACTAGCACCCTCTAAACATAATTCCCCTTCATTTATTTCTTTGCACATGACCTCATCAGAATCCATAGCAGTCTCAGCTCCATGTCCAGTGGCTATATCTTTAGCACATAAGTCCACTATATCATCCCAGTTTGCAATCACCTTGAATCAGAATTGTCTTGATTCTTTATGGGCCTTGAAAACAAAAGAAACAAGTCAATAATAGAAAGAAAAAAAATAATATTTACATTGCTTTAAATAATGATAATATAAAATTACTTACATTAACATACTCATTCCAAGCATTTTCATTGTCAATTATAATAATGTATTTTGTGCCATCCCAATCAAATCCTCTTTGACTAAGGATGTCACTAACAACTCCATATCATGATCTCCAAAGTTTGATACGATTTTTTTACATTCTCCTAAGTGACCTGGATTTTGAAGTTGGAAGATAACACTATGGCTGCAGCATTGTATGCTACCCTTTTCCAAGCTCCATCACTCTTGTTGCCCAAACTTCTTTGATCTCGTAATACATCAGCCAATGCACATTCCGTCTCTAAATTCCATGTGAAATAACTTCTTATTTCCTCGTTATTTCTTTCTGTCATCTTTCGTTTTCCCTTCAAGTTCTCTTTGGATGACTTCATTGAAGTTAATACCACCTATTAACCTACACATAAAAAAAATGTCACATACAACCCACAAAATTAACTTGATCAATCCAATGCATAATTCTAGATCATGTAAATATTTTTTTTATAAACAAATGGAAGCTATCAAAAGACAATATTTCAACCAAAGTTTTCTTCAATCTAGTACATAAAAGTCCATTAAGTACATAAAAAAAATATTTCTTTAATAGAAATTACATCAAAAAAAGAAAAAACTCTCCCTAAGCAATGTTTCTTCTAACTTGGTAGTTAGCAAACATATTCATTGCTAATGTATCTTGAAATCTTATCAATTGCTCAGTAACTTGAATAGTTGCAACCTCGTCTATGACATTATTTTGAACTATTTTTGTTCGTTGGTTGGTTAGCTCTTCATCAACAATAGATAAGAGCTTCAAGTCTTGAACCTCTAAAAGTTGATCA